GATATTTTAGCCAATATCTGTGACATTACCGCCGCTATGCGGCTAATTTGAATTTCAAAGGTGTCAGTTTTTTTACTCACCCTGTAGATTATGCTAGTAAATATACAGGGTGAGTAAAAAAACCTGACACCTTTGAAATTCAAATTAGCCGCGAACGTATGGCTGGAATTTGACAATTCCCATGACAGACACATGTGTGCAATCAACAGGACCATAGGAAGCCCAGACAAATGAGTTGAAGTTAATAAAAATCCGTAAAACACTTGAGATATGTGTTAAAATGAATTAAAGTATGTAATATGCTACAAAACTACTGTTAGAACCATGTGTGTAGCGTGCTCCAGAGGCGCTGCCATTTGACTATGCAACTAGTGACGTAACTTACTATATTATTAGGAAGGATGGAAACTCTCACCTCAATTTTCAACATGTTCACAAATTAAAACATAAATTACTATAGTAAAACGGCACGTCGACTGCTAAATGCCTACCCTAGGTTTAAGTTGAATAATCAAACTATACTTTCATCACAAAAATAATGCTGAATTCAAAAGAAAGCGCTGGAAAAACGTACACAAACTTTGTAAATTTGCCGAAACTTTCGTAAATTCATGCGGGATGTAAGTACCTACCCAAAATGGCGGCGGCAGAAGAATCTGATTGGTCGAGAAAGGTAAACAAAGTATGATAAACCAATCTGATTGGTCGAGAAAGGTAAACAAAGAATGATCGACCAATCAGATTCTTCTGCCGCCGCCATTTTGGGTAGGTACTTACATCCCGCATGAATTCACGAAAATTTCGGCAAATTTACAAAGTTTGTGAACGTTTTTCCAGCGCTTTCTTTTGAATTCAGCATTATTTTTGTGATGAAAGTATAGTTTGATTATTCAACTTAAACCTAGGGTAGGCCTTTAGCAGTCGACGTGCCGTTTTACTATAGTAATTTGTGTTTTAATTTGTGAACATGTTGAAAATTGAGGTGAGAGTTTCCATCCTTCCTAATAATATAGTAAGTTACGTCACTAGTTGCATAGTCAAATGGCAGCACCTCTGGAGCACGTTACATACATGGTTCTAACAGTAGTTTTGTAGCATATTACATACTTTAATTCATTTTAACACATATCTCAAGTGTTTTACGGATTTTTATTAACTTCAACTCATATGTCTGGGCTTCTTATGCAGGACGTGGTTAATTAATGCGAAAGTTTTAATTTGAATTTCAAAGGTGTCAGTTTTTTTTTACTCACCGTGTAGAATAGTTTGAACTATGTACTGTACTTGTTCATTGCTTCCCTGTTTGATCTTCCTCCATTAGCACGATTTTGTCCACCGGTGTCACGAGTTCAGATGAACTCGTCTTGAGTTTCACCGATCGCACGAGTTTCTTGCCGCCTGTGTTTGTATAGACTTCAACCACGCGTCCGAGAGGCCAATTATACCGCGGCTTGTTCTCGTCAAGCACCAAAACTACGTCGTCGTTGACCATTGGTCATCGGGATACTCCACTTTCGCCGTTAGAGAGACGGTAGGTATTCCTTCAACCATCGACGCCAGAATACGTTTGCCATGTATTGCACCTGACGCCATCTCTTTCCGCCATAGCCGTCTTGCTCAGTGGCGGATCTAGGGGTGTGCAGATCTAGAGTAAATTACACAGCTGAAATTTTAAATTCAAAACACTATTGGTTATAGATTTGAAAAGAATATTTTTACATTAAAATCTACCAAAGCGATTACGATTTTAAGCTGTAGTAATTTATTCTGCACACCCCTAGGTCCACCACTGGTCTTGCTTACAGAAAACACCAGGAGGGACACTTGATCCTGAGCGTAGCAAAGTAGGTGGTTTCGGGTCAAGGGCCCATTATCTCGGGGGTCGTCTGGCAAATTTGGCCATTCTGCCGTTCACTACAGACTCGACTTCACACATAAGGGTGTTGAGGGATTCTTCGTCCAACTGCTGCTCCTTTAGGGTTGCCAGCATCACCTTTCTGATTGTCCGTATGCACCTCTCCCAAACGCCTCCATGATGAGAGGCAGCTGGGAGATTGAAGGTCCACTTAACGTTTTGCTGTAAAAGGGCTTCGTGTATTTGTGTTTGATTCCAGTCGTTTAGTGCTTGCTATAGTTCTTTCTCGTCCTTTATGAAGTACCTTCCATTGTCTGACCATATTTCTTCAGGCTGACCTCTTCTTGCAACAAAACGTCTAAGGGCGTTCATGAAGGACTCCGTGTCTAAAGACGCGGCCACTTCGATGTGGATGGCACGAATAGTGAGACAAGTAAAAAGGGCGCCATATCGCTTAACAGTTAATCTTCCCCGTTTCACCTCGAATGGCCCAAAGCAATCAACTCCGGTATAAGTGAATGGCGGCTTCGAAGGGGTGACAACGTGGTGGTTTTTTGGCGAGATGCAGGGGTGTTTCGCTTCTTCGTTGATCTCGGCTCGTCGCAGTCAACCACCGCCAACAAACAGCAGGTCGTTTTTGACGGTGGGATCAAGTTGATAAATTCCTGATTCCTGAAATAAGTGCAGTCTGGAGTATTCAAAATTCAAGTTTAACAAACGTACATGGAGTGTAATAATCATAGTTTCGTAACTGCAAAGTTTACATCTCTCAAAAGTAGAATTGCTTTGCAAGTTGCAAGAAAAATTGCACCGTGTAACAAGGCTTAAGCAAGTTAAAAAAAGCCGAACATTTCCGAAGTCATCTCATATAACGGCATTGAATTTTGAGTGACAGCTAAAAAAATTTCAACATTTAAAAAACAAAATGGTACAAAATCGTCAAGGACGAAACGTCAAATACTAAGCCTCATTTTCATGTGTCGTACTTCATCGGCGATGTTTTACGATATATTGTTGGTGATCAATGAAGTCATCTTATTGGATAGAGAAAGGGTTTAATGCTCAATAACCACCGACCATTTATTTTATAGCCAATATAGGCATATAATATCATTTTATTTTGTCAAAGATTTTACATAAAGTTTGCGAAATGAACGTTCAATAACTAACTCGCTGACATTATTTACGATTACAAACTTTCGGCTTTAGCCAATCAGGACGTTGCTGATTACCAGCATTTACAAATTTCGCACATGCGTGTAACAAACAAAAGCATGCAACGTCGACCGTCAGTGACGTAGAATTTGCAGAACTTAGGATTCGGCTATGTTCTGTCACAATACCCAGGTGTAATATATCTCCAAGCAGAATTAGTGCCCTAAACCGGAGCGGCTCGAGTTTTAGCTTATAACCAAATGCATTTTCATTGATTTTACGGTTTGCTTGAAAAGGATTTCCGAAGACAACATGCAGTACCGTTTCGTAGGACATGATATACGAGAAATTCTTGCTACTTTATTTGCTACTAATTCTTGATTTATGGCTATATAGTTTCAAGATTTTTCCGTCTAAGACCCCGTTTACACTATACTGGATTCATACGGTCACGAAATCGTTTTACGGAGTTTTACGATATCTTTGTCCACAAAACCTTTTCATTCTGCAGATCATGTTAAAAAAATGATGGTATCAAACGTTTGGGAATAAAACTCCCTTTGACATGGCTAATTTTATGTTGTGACCATGCAAATCTGGTATAGTGTAAACAAGACCTGAGATGCTCCAAGAGTTCACAGAAGCTTAAACTTAGCATAAACTTATCCTGCAGATCCAAGTACACCATCTGCCCTTTTTGGAATGTCAGTTTGATTTATTTCATTTAAAGCCCACGATTATCACATTAAAGGGATATGGCAATAAAAGTTATTTCAGTTTTGTTGAAAAGAAAACTTACACTTTTTATAGTCCTTTTTAAAAAATTTGTTTATCGTCCTTACTACGCAAGATCAAAAACATCGACTATCTAATTACGTGACGTCAAAAGCAGGGTTGACGCTTAAAAAATAACAATTACATGTTTACGATTTGCTGCATGCCTGCATCTCTAGTTTATTTTTGAATTCGTCTTTTTTTGTAGCGCTAAAATACTATTTTTAGCCTAGAAAAAAATTAAATTGACTGAGCGCTAATAATATACTTGTAGAAACTAATCAGGTATATGACTAATCATTAGATGAGACAAAAAAGGTAAAATATCTTGGAAACACGAACGCCTCATTCAGACCCACGATATTTATTTATACGCACGTGTGAGTTACAAATGTTGACAATACTATGATAATCTGCCATTCAATACAAGGAAGTTGATGTTTTCTATAATTTAATCTCAGTACGATTAAAGTAAATTTTAGAGCAAGGTAGGTTCAAGCAATAGTGCAAAACACGACCACTTCAAGTAAATCGTGGTCATTTATTTCATCGAACTATCTTTTTAAACCTAAACCTACGAAAAGGATCAATATTTTTTTCTTTAAAAAAATCGCACTAGGAAAACGAGATGGTGGGACGGCGGAACGTTGCGCGGACAAAGGGGGCAGATTTTCGAGAAAGGGGACTTCATGCAATCCACAACAGTACACACTCAAAACATCGTCTATTCAACTTAATTCGTTTCATCGTGTTTACTCTTTCCACGATAATTTTGGCGTCTGGGAACTTATCACGAGACGATTGTGCAATTCGTGAAGCTCGTTGGTTTCACTTCTACCTAAGATATAGAATGTAATCCTTTTATATAAGAAGGTGAATTTTACCCCACTTGCCCAGCTGGTAAAGGCAAGGAGGTAGGTAACCCTTGCTGCACTCACCCCCCAGTCTCGGCGTCCTCAATAAATTGTTTTTGAATCGAATTCATAGCGAACGTTTTTTGCATGTATGTTTACTTCAACTTTGTTGCTAGACAGGTCATGCTGTCCTTAACCAGTGCACTAATTAGCATTCTAATGTTTGTTAATTTAACCTATCAACAAACACTAATACTACTGATTTAGAATTTTAGATTTGTAATATTTAACAAATAGCAATGTTGGAAACATGCAGTGGAGTAGCTGGCCTATTCCTTTTATTCTCATTTAAAGGCATTCTTGTTATTATTATAATTTTAGGATTAGCAGAACTAATTTGTCAAGCCGACCACGCTATTTCTAGGATAATTATGTCTTGTATTCAGCAGCTGGTCACGGCGTTTCCACCATTGTCAGAGATTGTCTAGAGGAAAAGAAGAGATTTTATGATCTTTTAAAATAATGCGTTGATTTTGAAAAATTAATAATGAATTGATATTTGGATATGGGGGCTCAAGATAATGAAATAGGGATATGGAGACGCAAAATATTTCAGGTGACCTGATTGAGATGACCTGATTTCATAATTAAGATTTCATAATTAACTAAAGAGGAGCTTCATAGATAGAATCCTCGAAGAAAAAAATGGTAGATTCTTAATAATCCAACCGGCTAAAGGTAGACAGTACCTTCAGGCTACTGGCAGAAACAAAATATTTGCGAAGAAAATAAGAAATTTACAGTATGTAATGTGATTTTATAGAATTAATACTACCAAGGCAAGGTGTCCCCCCAAGGGGCCTTGCCGACGTTAATTAAAAATCTTACATTATGGGCTTGGTGCCTTATCTAAAAGACCGACAGGTAATGGAGCGCACTTTCAGCGTGGCATCGCAGAAGACAGACCTCGTTTAGAGCTGAGCCCACCTCTTCCCTAAAATCCCCCGATTAGCACATTGCATTAATTAAAAAGTAGCTGATATATAATTATAGTGCATTTATATCTCAATTAGCAATTTTAGTAGTGGTATAGTAGGGGCTGAAGGAAATTTGCCTCCACCTCTTTCTAAGCAAAAATATTTAATCGAATGTATTTATAAATATCGTTTTGTTTGGCAATAATAAAGCGACTATGAGAACCATTACACCAAGCCAAAATTACCTCAAAACGGCGTAAAATTTAATGTGTCATTATTGATACTCAGAAAGCTGAGCTGCGGAATGGGCATATAAAATTCATGGCTGGCAGCCAATAATCCATGGGTAAATAAATCACATTGCATAAAATTAATGGAACCTGGTAAACTACTACCCTGTGAAACCACGTTGCCGAACTATAAGCTGTATCAAATTTATCTAAAGCTGGTTAACTAACGCTGGGTTTTGTCAGACTGAATTGCTTGGTAGCGCTGTTTGTTATTATTCTTCTAGTTATAACATTTGCTTGACTATAATTATAATTTAAATAAATTAGTATATAGTTAAAATATCGCAATGAACATGACCATGTGTCTGACGTACCGCTTAATGGGAAAGGGGGGGTTGTATGTTTTTATATTTCTATCTAACTACTGTGAACGTTTAGGTAACAACTAACAATAATATTAAAATACTTTACAAAGATATAAATATCCACTTCGCCCCAATTAAGCTTCTAAAACGGCTATGGTACTATGAAACATGCGAGACATTGCTAACACAAACCTCCTGCATTTCGTCAATAAATCCAAGATTTTCTCCCAGAAGTTTTATTAGATTGCAGAAATTTGGACGGTCAATAGGATTCTCTTTCCAACACAGCGACATGATATCGAAGCTTCGATGAAAATGTATAATAACTTTCATTAATAATTATTAGATTTCAGTTTTCACAGTACATTGATACCATGTAAAATTGAAGCATTTATAACTTACATCTTCGGTGGACAATGAATTGGTGGTTGCATTCTGTTTCCATTCAATAAATACAGGTAGAAATCGTTAATATGCACTCCAGGGTACGGATTACCACCTAAACAAAGAGATCACACCAACAAACACATTTGAGAAGGAGAGCGCCGGTACATTACTGTTCAGATATCACCTAGCAAAGCAGAGGTTGAAGCAAGATTAGACCGCGGTCAAACCGAAGCGAAATCGCGGTTGAACCGAGGTATAGGTTCCATCGTAGTATATTCGGATTTAATTTGAATGTCTGTCTAAAAAAATTTTTGGTCGTTAGAATGTGAATGCTATATTAGCATTTTAAACTATTCGTAAAAATATGATAGCTGAATTTGATAGCTCGACTGTATCTGGCAGAGGAGGAAGACTAAGAAGTTGACTAGGAAGTCAATCATTCAATAGTTACAAGAACAAAATAATTCTTTAATATAACTAATTTTGAACACAAACATACATGGTCGTATTACATTCAAAAATGAACTACATTTCACAACCGTGCATGGGTACGTAGATTGCGCTTTGGAAAATTATATATAATAGGTTTCTCATCTTGAAATCAGTTAGTTGCAAGCTTATTAATTGCAGAAAAAGGTTTTATATTGTCGCACCTAGAGCCATTAATAAACCAACTTTTGATCTGGGTATCAAGAAGGAAATATAAAGCCACAACAGCACCAACTTTACATCGCTATATCTTGAATTATCTTCCGTACTTAACAATATTTTGCGGCCAAACTTGTTAATTTTACTAAGTTTAGCATGCTCATTTCGGAAATTTCCTTTTTGCCGCCTAAATCAAAATTTGGTCCATTATGCAAGTGGTCCATTGAACCAGGTAGAATATTAAAATTGCAGTCCATTCATTAAATTTCCGGAATTTGTTTACCTAATGCAAAAATTTCCCAGAGTAAAACACCAAATGACCACCTAAAATATTGCGGGAAAATATGTGAAGAAAAAAACGATCAATGTATAGAATTTTAGTTAAAATGTACAAAAACTAAGAAAACGTATTCTTATACGTAAGACTGGCAACTGGCAAGAGAGTCATATCTAATTTTCATTGTATTGAAGAGCGTTTCCTACTTACACGTCGGACTTTTCTGTGAATATTGCATCTTCAATAGACTCGATAGCCAACCATTTTACTGGAACCATTCCCTGCAAAATATAAGAACAACATAAAAAATTAATGTAGTCATAGTTTCTCTTGAAGTATGGGCTATCATAACCATAAGACCCCGTTTACGCTATATCGGATTCACATCGTGAAGACATCGACCCCAACCAATTTGGCTGTCTCGATATGATTCACTCCTGGCTGTCTCAATATTTTGGACTCGAGCTCTAATGGCTCCCTCATCAGTACAATTTCCTAGATTTCTCAAATACCTGCGACCGTTTTTGATACAATATTCTATTTGAAAAATTGTTAGAAATGGGCGTTAGGCGATTCCTTATAATTATCATGAATCATAGACTTCCTTTATAGACAACAAGTACTAAATTTGTGAAGATGTTTAATCTGAAAATCTCAGAACGAATAGTCCATCCATATCTCAAACATCCCTTGATACCATAGATTAATTCTTAGGCATTTGATAAATAACGATAATTGGGGGGGGAGATTATTCGTATAATTTACTCAGTTGTACCTGACGGATTCCTATTGGAAACTATTGAACCTACAAAAGAAATCAGTCGCGCAGAACTAAATATTTGAAAACAGCCCCCCCCCCCGAATTATAGTTCAGCCACGCTGCTGGTAAAGCGCCAAAGAAGTGCAGAAAACGCCGGGGATGCCTTCTGTAAAAAACTACGCAACTATTACCTTTCGCAATCGATGGTCATGTGTTAGAAACGATATAATTATGCAATCGCATAATTACATCGTTCGACTTAATTACCCGAGATAATCTAAAATGATACTTGCGATATGATGATTAGCAAGTAAGTAGCTAACGCAAAATTGATTGACATTATTCGGGAACCTGTCTAAGGTAAGACAAAAATATGAAAAATTCGTCACAACAGTGCCTAGTTTCTGCCCGTCTTAAATTGAACCCGGCAACTTCAATATGCAAGAGAGAAGTTGCTTTGATTTCATATTTTGTCTCGTGTCTTATATCTATTGTTACAAGGCAGCCATCTTTGATTGGTAATTAATGTCTTGAATTTCTAGTGGTGTAAATTTGCCTGATTCAAACAGTTGAAACTTTCAAACTACTCATATCATTTCATATAGTTTTTCTTTTGTGAAATATTTTATAGTCAGTGTGCTTGAAGAGAACGATCGTGAAGTACGTTAGTCATCGGCAAGTGGAAAAACAAGAGGATTGGAAACGTACCGTCGATTTTTTAATGTAAATTTGGTACTTGTCCACATTTCTTGCCAATCCAAAGTCAGCAACTTTTGCCACATATTCATTTCCAATCAGGATATTTCGTGCCGCAAGGTCTCGATGAATTATCTTCAAGATCGAGGTGGAATTATGGTAGGGAATGTCAAAAAAAATCGACATTAGGCATTTAAACAGGGGGGGGGTTCAGCTGGTTGCAGCCTCCCGAATATTTTTTAGGAATGGCGTTGAGTTTAAACACGACTTGGCGAAACTTCTTTATCCGAATAATGTCGTTGTTAGTCGTGTACATAGTCAGTACATTTTAATATTCAGTTTTGACTTTAAGCATTCGCTGAGATCCCACGAAATCGTGTTCCAAAACTTTACCTTAATTTTTCGATTATTTTCGGAAAATTTAACATCCCTATTTGAATTTTCACCCCCCTGATGGTAATTTACTTTCCACGGGCCTATTGGTTAGGGCGATGTTGTGGAAAATATTATGAGCAATTTTGTTCAAGCATATGTATGTACCACCTAATTATGTTTAACGTCTGCACTCAAAACCTTTTTTAACTTGTTCCGTTGTTGCACTTGTTAAGTCGTTTATAATTATTTCGCTGACTATCGTCTTGTGAAAGGTGCAAATATATTATAGACACCTCATATTAATATTGTGATGATGCTATATTCTCTGTGTCGGCAATCGGGTAAGCTGAAAAATTAGCTTGACTCCGGTGGGAATCGAACCCGCGACATTTGGATTGCTTGTCCAATTATATAGACACTTCGTAAAACGTTTTCTGGGCGTGCGCGCATGCAATCTGCATTAATTAAGAGAATCCTTTTTATTTAGTATTTTGAGTCATTCGAACGAATCCTGCACAAAATTCGTAGAAAAGGTAATTTTCCGTGTAAAAAGCCTGTTTTAGCTAACATTTTTAGCTAAGACACTCTGATGAAAACAGTAAGGATAGTTTTGTCAATTTCTGCACTTGCTGTACCACATTTTATGCGAAGTTGTTTGAAGACGCTGCCAGGCCTGTCCCTAACTATTTTTGAAACGTGTCTACATAACGTAACGACATGAACATGAATGAAATTAATTTCCCTTTTGGCCTATTGATGACGTGTTTTTCTGGATACAAAACATGTGCTCTCCCTTGTTTACTTTCTAACTTTCCCCAAGCGAAAAGGCGAAAACGTCGAGAAGTTCTTTTTGTCTATTTTAGGCAATTGTTATTTATGCATACGCACCCATGGTTGAATAAATACCTTTCGCGAAACTAAAAATTCCATTCCTTTTGCGATTTGTAAAGCGAAACACATCAAATTTTTCGGACCAAAATTTTGCGAGAGATCTTTTACCAACAAATCCTCTTCCAATCTGTATCTATCTCTGCTTTGCCTCAATAGTTCTTTCAGATTTCCATGCGGACAGTATTCCAAAATGATCCACAGGTTGGAACTTTTGCCTGGTGAAAAAAAAATGGTGTGCTGTCTTGGAAAATTTGTAGTAGGAATTGTGTAAAATAGGGGGGGGGGCAATGCTTTTATTTAATATTAGACATCGGCGGATTTGCTGCACGACACTGTTTCAGTCTATAGATTTCATAAATATTTTTGCGTGCAACCGGAAATCATGACTCTCAATGACTGATCTTCTTCCTTAAGACAAGCGGCATGTCTAGGAAGAGTCATTATATACTCTTATGATGATTCGTTTGATATATCTCCGTTTATATTGCACTAGATATTTAATGACGCGGCACAGAAAAAATGGGTAACAGTGCCCATTTCATCTGTGCTCAGGCATTGTATTGGTAGCCTGAGGATTGAAAAGATTGGGCACGGGCACCAATTTTAACTGTTGTGCCGTGCCAATAAATTGACTGTAGTGTAAACGTAAAAATTTGGGATTGAAGCGCTCCACGTTGCAACTCATTTGTCGTCGGTGGGAATTGGGCCCGATTTACACTAAAGACGAATTATCCGTCACGACGAATGATCCATCTGACTGTTGAAAAATTGACGCAATAATAATATATAAGGGGCTATTAACATAATTCTAATTATTCATGGTGTTAACATTTAAACAGATTTACAAACATTATCAAAATATTAACAAAATATCAAATAAATTCCATATTTCCGCGTATCCATGTATTAATATTCTCTATTATTATCATCATTGCATCGCCATCATCATCAGTAGGGGTAAAAAACGTTGAATTTGAATACGAATACTTTTACTTTCTCTATTGAATTCTCGATGAAGTTTTTAAGAATATTTGTAGAATAGGGACTCGCTTACCTTTCGTACATGCGCCTAGTATATTCACGATGTTTTCGTGTTCACCAACATGAATTAAGATCTGTAACTCATCTTTTATATCAGCAACACTTGATTCAACATAATCTGCTGCAATAATTAAGGGGAAAACGAGATTCGATATAGTCCAGTCAAATATTATTATTATCTTTTTTAGGGTCAAGTAAACATATTTTTTTACAAAGAAAACAACCACATATAGAATATTCAGCTAAACTGTTAAAAGAATGTAGACCCTAAACGGGGAAGGTATAAATAGGACTCGAAGAACCATGCATGCAAGATACTTTCTTAAAATTTTCTAAAACTATTAAAAATGCCATTACACACAAAACTCTGCACACTATATATCTACTACACTATAGGACGACTTGCCACATAATTTTTTTAAAGAGCACGTAAAAATCAAGTTTGATTTTCGAACATAAATGAAATATAATATAATCTTAATATATGTCTTTCAATTGGTAATTTCAAATGAAAAACAAACCTTTGACTTGTTTCACTGCAACATTATTTATTTCCTTGCAATTGGTGAAATTAGCTTTTCTGCGCGTCCGATTAAAGAAGAAGAACATTTTCTTTCCCTGCTTTTCTCGCAATGTTTCTCTTGGATGAAATAAAGATATACCAGTTGCTTCAGCCAACCAAACAACGCCAAACTGTCCAGCACCAAGTTGACGGACTGAAAATGAGTAAATTTGAGTCAATTTAGCTAAAATATATATTACAAAAATTGGCAAGCTTACATTAACCGCGCACCCGGAACAAGGTTTTAAAAACTTAAGTTTGAATTAATGAGTTTTTCAACGAAAATTAATTTGTTTTTGACACTCAATCGTCTGGGAGGGGCCAAACAATTAGTTTCGCGATGAAAACATTACACTTTTGCCTATAATTGTAACCAAAATTTGTAGCTTTCTTATGGAATTTAAGGTAAACAGACATTGTAGATATAAACATCTTATTGCTCAAGAATGCATGGATTTACAATGGAACCCTCCTAAATTCGCTGTAATAGAGCAATTTAGACGCGTCCGAAATAAGAACAAATAATATCCCTACTTTTGTCTAAGTCGCGACTTACATAGGATGCGTCTTATTTAAGAGGCGAACAAGGATTTTTTATCGTTCTTACAAAGAAGTCGCATACATAGGGACGGCGCTGGGTCTGCGCAAAATAACGCTTTTTGTTCTTGCAAATCAGGTTATATCCATCTCATCTCAAATTACGCTCATAAAAAAAGCTTACCAAACTTTATTTTTTCTCTTGGAAATTCCCACTCAGGAAAAAAGGGCGATGGAATCGTCTCCATGGAATCCAGTAAGGGTGGATGCGAGAAAAGGTAAAGTCCGCCATAAAGCTTCTTCCTTTTGTACATCACCAAGCACAAGAATGTTAAAATGATCATCGATAGTACGCTAACTGGAGCAACGATTGGAATAGCCGATGAATTCTGGTCTGAAATTTCTTCAGGTTCTAATGAGACAATTTCAAGTGTACTATGTGAATTTTTTAATATTCATACATTCAGTTCTGTCCCACGGATTTCTATTGTAAGCTATTGCACTTACAAAAGAAATCCGTCGGGCAGAAATGAATATAAGAATATAATAATCACCCCCATGCAATTATCTTTCTATATAGTCACGCCACTGAGTCTAATCCCTGTTAAAACTATTGCTCTAAAAGCACCACGTTTGAAACAGGCCTAAATAAGTAACTAAAGTCCTCCCGCATGCTACTAATTTTAAAACTTCTTACATAAAAGCCTTAGCAGAGAAAAGTGAAACAGCATCAAAAGAAGGGTTTATTCGTGCCTCGGGGTAGAGATATCAAATCGCGCATCAGAAAATTGATCCCCAAGTTTCGATAAGTGCCACGACTATTGCAAGACAAAACTTAGACGTTGATAGATACGGTCACATAATTATGATTTATAGCGAGCGTCGCATCGTATATTTGCGTACAAACTAAACACCCCTGGAGAAACTAAGAAAGGTAAACGAAAATAGTGGCAAAAGTACGAAACCTAGGATAAAAATCTTGCAAGACTCTGTTTTGTTAAAAATTAGATGTCTCATATAGGTTCGCGAATAAGCGCTACAAATAAACTTTACAAGCAAAATGTTACAAAATGCGACGTTTAACCTAGGCCTTAAGGTCGACACTGACCGGACGGCATGCGGCGATGCGACGCGAATATTTAGTTTTCAGAAGCACATAAACTAATTTCTGGAAGCAAAATTTGGGATAATGGATGCCAGAGCATTCAATATGTAATCTACAAAAATTTTATGATAGTTTAAAATTTATTATCAAATGCAAAATTGCGTCTGGTCTGTGCCGAAGTGTACTCGCCATCGCACGATAACTAGTCAAATATGCGTTTTTATTATTTTCTCAATTCACGAATTATTACTGAGATTACTAAATGATATAAAATAAAAAGATTTTTGTAGGCGTCTTACTTTCAGTCTGAAATACCATCAATGTTTTAGTTGCTTTACCAGCAGCATTTTTGGCTGTGCAATTATACGTCATTTCAGATTCTGGCAGACTATCAAGTTGTAAGATGGATGATTTAGTCTCAAGCTTCCAGCTTTTTCCTCTATCGGTGCGAATCTCCGAATGCCAAGTATAATTTACTTTTGGAGGATTTATTTTCCCTTTGTTCATCAGAGTACAATTAATCAACAATCCTTTCGTGAATTTCAAATTCTGCATGTTCTTTATCTGGGGTGCCACTGCAATAAAAAAACAAATAGCATTCAATGCCTGGTCATCCCTGTCTGATGAATTATTGTGTATAACCGCTGAACAATTATCGCCATAACATTATATCTTATGAACTCTCGCCTTTACGTCACTGTGAAGTTGAAGATGGTGCTTCAAAGAACTTATATATATTATATTTTATGTATTTTAAATGTATTTTTCGTATTAATACCAATGCCGTTTTAAATTAAATAAATTTACAATTTAGTAAAAAAAGTTTTGAATTAAAAAGATGGAATAGCCTAAACGTCGATTGTCTATGTCATAGAATTTGTACGACTTCATATTGTGCACTGTTTCGTCATAATACTCGGATGTAATCCCAAATCTCCGGACGGTATTGATAACCTCGCACAGTTTGAGGAGACGTATATATCCGCGATGATACTATTTCGAAGGTGTGTTGCATGAATAATAAACTCAGTAACATTTTCGAAAATTTATTTCGGAAAAATTGTCACCTTGCTCATGTGAAATACAATTTATGACGAAAGACAATTACTACAATATTATATTTATATACCCGGAGTGAGGGGGATTGGGTGAAATATTTCCCGAAGTGATTATATTTCCGGGGGCTATGCTCCTAGGCGGATATATTTCGCCAAATCCCGAAAAACTGGGGTTTTGATTTACAAGACGCCCGATAGGTGTTAAGGGCTATATAGACGGGGCACTGGGCAATCATCTTTCATAGAATATGACCGCCATTGCTCCCCCACGGGTTGTGTTATAACATTGCGTGTAAGAGTAAACACACTCGTGTCATAAAATATCCCACATTACCATAAACTTGCAGTTGAAAAGATTGTGAGTCGTTTCCATATTCGTTACTTGCGTTACACTTGTAGAAGAGATTATGTTGAGGAAATTCAAGATTCATTATTTCAAAGGTGTTCCTTGTAATAAACGTATTCTTTTCGTCGCCTTCACAACTTCCTGAACTTGAGCATTTCACCATATTTTCCCATGTTTTTTCATCTTTCGATTTCCACCAGTAAATATCAGAGGTTGGGTAAGACGACACGTTGTACTGCAGTAAGAAGGTCTCTCCTTCATTCTTACGAAAGTCTTGTAGTAAATGCTCCATACGAATATACGGAACCTGTGGAGCTATATTAAGGATAATGATAGTTTTATTAGTAACACTGCAGAATTTTTCGTTAGCTACTTGTATATTTGATAGATCCGTTAAAAAGTTCGATTAATTATAGCAGATAATTATTAATTATAACAAATAGGCAGCTCTCGCGCCGAAGATGCCTTTGGTCAAACACTTGCGGAAAACCGCAAAAATTCCCTTAGCCAATAACCACGAACACACATAATACACATCTGTCACTATACAGTGTAATATATGTGTAATTATGTACATAATTAGTATAGGGATTAGGATTCTGCTGCATGCAATTATAGTCACTTGTATCTAGATACTTATGCTGTAAACACCACTATTAAAATCTTTTACATGGTAGCAGCGGTAAAACAGTCTGAACTTAATAAGAAAGTTATCGCCATTAAGATAAAGACAGAAAAAACAAGCTGCTACATATAATACAGGCCATCTGTAAAACAAGGAACGGGGAATCGGGGAAAGGAATGAGGAAAGGAACGGGGAACGGTAAAACCAGGAATGGGAAAAGCCGGAATCTGTAAAACCAGGAATGGGAAAAGCCGGAATCTGTAAAACCAGGAATGGGAAAAGCCGGAATCTGTAAAACCAGGAATGAGAAAAGCCGGAATCTGTAAAACCAGGAATGAGAAAAGCCGGAATCTGTAAAACCAGGAATGGGAAAAGCCGGAATCTGTAAAACCAGGAATGAGAAAAGCCGGAATCTGTAAAACCAGGAATGAGAAAAGCCGGAATCTGTAAAACCAGGAATGGGAAAAGCCGGAATCTGTAAAACCAGGAATGAGAAAAGCCGGAATCTGTAAAACCAGGAATGGGAAAAGCCGGAATCTGTAAAACCAGGAATGGGAAAAGCCGGAATCTTTAAAACCAGGAATGAGAAAAGACGGAATCTTACGGCCGGAAGTTTGTAACTAAATTAGTTACAATTTCCGCGCGTAATACAAAATATGCTAATTTGACATGGCTATATTTTCCGTATTTTACCAAATTTCGCAGCCAAACTTAGCATTTCCACTAATTCAAGTACGCTTAATTCTTTTATCTGTTATATGGAACATAAACTGCATTCTTTTGTGGGGGAAGGAATATATAATACATATATAATTATACAAACGATGAAACGATCACAAGGACTGACAAGGTTAGTTTGTAAACAGTTAAATTTGTTGATTTGGTCTTATTCATAAACCTACAAAGTGGAGCTTTGCGCGTTGCTATCTACCGTTTAATATCTACATTGCCATTGAAATTGAATAATGTTTGGTTGGAAATGAAAACTTTTTGGATCCAAATTTGAATTTCCAAATTTTCATATGAATTGCATACTGCATGATATAAAATATGCAAGAACCACTTCATTAAATACACAATATATTTTATCTTTTCTATATTCAGTTCATTGTATTTACAGCTACCTAATATATCAGTATAAATCTATGCGAACAACAATTTTGCTCCATTTATAACATACATATTAAGCTTATTTTGCAATATATATTTGTCATAGTTCATGGTAACAGCTTATCATTATTGAATCAGATTACCCCTAAACAATGCACTACACTTTTGTTGTCTCACCCAAGGTTTTAATGACTGGAGGCTGATTAAAAATATACAATGATAATCTGTAAGTAACTAACAGTTGCAATTAATTAAAATCTTGGCTCTTTGAGAACAACTTTGTGTTGGGATGGAATTTTGGAATATATCCTATTGTTGTTTACATACTGTAGAGTAGATTTATATTAAATAGCAGCAAATACAATATACTGGTAATATTCCAAAATTTAACAACATATCTCAATTCTTTTATCAGTTATATGGAACATAAACTGAATTATTTTGTGGAGGAAGGATTGAAGGAATATATAATACATATATAATTATGCAAACAACAATTAATTTTGCTGCACTTAATACATTATTTTGCACTATATAGTCATAGTTCATAGTAAAAGCTTTTCAAGAAGAAATCAAAATAAGGAGTTCAAGTTAGTGGCTTCACTGAAGCAGAACGAATTCCCCGGAAAATTCTACCGCAAAGAAGACACACAGAAGCTGAAAATCAAGCACAAACATATCCTTATAGTATCCTTGGAATAAACATTGTAGTATAGCTACAGTGATATTAATAATAAAGCTATATAGAACTATATGTACTTTGGGTTATGAAAGTTGGCAGACAATAACGGGGACAATAATGCGCGTGCATCGCTGAACACAAGCGGGGTAATTGGGTTAACTACAATACTAAGCGACTACCTATACCTGAAGTAAAATAAAGGGAAATAAACTCACGATAGAATAAATTGGCTGATAAAATGTCAGAATCTATTATGCCCCGAATGGACTGGGCAAATTCAGATCAAGGCAGCGCTATAAAACTGTTTAAACAATAATGCGAGTTATATTTCTCTGTTAAAGAGGTAAAGAAAGAGAAACAAGTAGACCATATCTTGTTGTTTACCGGTGCTAATGGCATTAGAATGTTTAACTCATGGGGATTAAATGAGACGGAAGAAAAAGACCGAGATGTTGTCTGGAATAAATTTATTTCGCATATACAACCAAAAGAAAATTTTAGAGTAGCGCGGCTGTATTTACAAAAAATCAGACAGCAAGAAAATTAAAGTATTGACGAGTTTGTCTTAAGGTTGAAGTTACAAGCCTTCAAATGTAGCCTGCGTGACGATAAAGAATTCGAGGCAGAGTGATAGAACAATTGATTGCTGGAACGTACCACAGGGAACTACAAAAGCAGCTCCTAGCAATTGGCAAATCATTGAGTTTGGCTAAAGCAATTGAACTTGGAAACACGCATGAAGCCACCCTAATGCACATGAAAGAATTGGCACAGGTACAACGCGAGGAGACATCGACGGTGTATGAAGCTCGAAGAGAGGAAACTTGTGGGAATTGTAGGAGGCTCCATTCAAAGTTTTCGAGAGATAAATGACCAGCGTTTGGCACAATATGTCATCGATGCAAGAAACGAAACCACTGGGAGAAGATGTGTAAATCAAAACCGGCAAATGGACTGACAAAAGACCAGTCTGGTTCTAAAGGTCGCTCGAAGCTAAGTATTCTCGTCGAAAGAACTACGAACGACGAGAGATACATGATATCAGAAAGGAAGAATCTGACGACGATGATCTATTCGAAGAAATGACAATAAATACTGTCAAGATATCAGATATCAGCGCGTGTGACGACCTTCGTTCTAAGCCACGCGACGAAGCTTTCACATACATCAAAGTCAAGTGTAGCAAAAGAATACGAGCAAATCTGAAAGTGAAGATATAGATACGGGCGCACAAGGCAACACCCTACCAGTGAGAATGTTCCGTGAAATGTATCCAGGAAAAGTCGACTCTGCAGGGGTCCCGCGAAAAAACGCAGTCAAGAACCGTCAGGTGGTCCTGACCGCTTATAATGGCACAAAAATACCACAGTATGGCGCAATACAACTCCAATGTCGCTATGATGGATATAAGTGGATCAACACAGATTTTTACATCGTGGATTCAGACGGACCCGCTATTCTTGGCCTGCCAAGTTCTCTTGATCACAAGCTTGTAACACTCCATTGTGAAATCAGGAAATCGAAGGAAGAGTCCCGTCCAGCCGAGGCAAC